ATTAGAAGAATGTTGAAGCTTTCAAAATGTTCTGAATAAATGGATGGGTTTACTGACCTATAAAATGAAGCTGTTATTGTATAGAGAGGAAGGCGGCCATGTTCAAGTTTGTATTTGACAAGAGCAAGACGGGGAATGTTTCAACCAAACCAGTTAAAACTAGGAGTCTGTGAATTAAAATTAAGCTTATGACATGTCCTTAGTTTTAGCATGTGAATAAATATAACAGTTTGTTTGTTTGTTTGTTTGTTGTTTAACGCCGCTTTCAGGAATATTCAGTCTATAAAAACTCGAATCTGTACCAGACAATCCAGTGATTAACATCATGAGCATCGATCCCCGCAATTGGGATACGATGACATGCATCAACCAAGTCCGCGAAGTCTGACCACCCGATCCTGTTAGTCGCCTTTTATGACAAGCATAGTTGCCTTTTACGTCAAGCATGGGTTGCTGAAGACCTATTCGAACCCGGATCTTCATGGGTCGAATAAATATAAGGAACATGGTAATAAATCCACCTAATGCTGTTTTTGTCCTTTCTCCAGACAAAAGGTGAATTATTGATTGTGTGGTGTTCAATGAATCTCATTAGGTTTGATCAACTTCCTGCAAACATGGCTACTTTAATCTTATGTCAACACACTGAAGGAAAAGGTATCCAACAAGGATCCAGATATGTTGTCAACAGCTTGTCCCACTACCACCACAATCTTGTATAAAATGTCCTAGCTGTGTGTAACACGTGATAAAAGATTATTGATTTGGACCAAATGTCAGTTTTATGCAGTGTTTGTTGTTACACAAGTTTAATTGTTTGCCTAGCAGCCAACATCACCATGCTGGGTTTCCAAAGCAATGATATTATGAATTTATTTTGTGAATGCGAATAAAATAAAAAACTAAGGTCTTTAATTGATGCTTTATTATTCCCTGCCTTGAAGTGGGATGGGGGTATAGGGATGGGGGCTGTGCGTCCATCAACCATCATGTTTTGTTTCTGTAGCATAACTCAAAGAAGATTTAATATATCTTAATTAAGATTAATTAATCTAAGATTTCAGTCTAGCCATGAACCCGCACATTTGCTACTTACAATGTTTTGGGCAATTTGTTTTTCCTGTTTCTATAACCATTATAAAAACAAACCAGACTAAGGTTCAAATGAGGTTAAGGTTTTGTTGCCAGAGCATAACTCAAAGACAATTCAATATTTCTTGTTCACATTTGCACAGATAACAGTTTAGCATGAACTGGTGCTTTTTGCTATTTTGGAATTTTGGAAATGTTTATTTTTACTGTTTCTCATGAACAGACAACAAATTTATATTTCCTTCATACCAATCAAGTGGTCAACTTCTTCCTTTTATGTTTTAGGTATTTTTATATATCATATTTTTTCTAATTCCACTGAAACAGCTAGAAAACAACAGTGTATCTGATGAGAGCCACTGCTCCCAGTGATCTTTTCATAGTACCACCTACCTACTGAGATGGCTAGAGGTACCAGTGAGTTTGCAGTGTATTTCCGCTGTCAATCAAGTTTTGAATTGGTGTGATTGACTCTCGAGGACTAGTCCAAGGCATCATTTGTTGTCACGGTCTTGATTCTTACAGTCAGAATAACAAACTGTCATCCAAAATGCCATATGAGCAATTCATGCTTGTTTATGTCATACACATGATTCTTGTACTTTGTTTGAACAGAGCTTCAACCTATGAATGTTTCATTCATATTTATAAACTTATCATTCTTATGAGAGCCCATGTGAGCCACAAATGTAGGGATCTTTAATTTTCTGTGCAGAGTTGCTTCCCTTAACAATGGCAGGGTCCACTCATTTGTCCTCATCATGATCTTTTGACTTCATTTAATCACCATGTTCACTTAACATGCTTAAGGTTTGTACACATCTTATATATCTGAAATTTGTAACCTTTTAAGAACCGCAGTTTTCTAGTCTCATTTTTGTTGTACAAGTATTTGTTGTCATCACTAATGTAGTGCTATAAAACCATTTCAGATGTGTGGCATTGCACTGTAGAAGGGACTAGGTTTATGTGACATCTCATGATGAACTGCAACAACAAATCATCACCAGTAAATAGGACCCCCGCCCAGGCATGACACATGATATACCAGGGTATACTACTAAAAAGAAGTTAAAGAACACCCAATTCTTTCATATGTCCAATGATTGTCATGGGGATTCTTTGGCAGACTAGGCCCACTATATATAAGGATTGTCATGGGGATTCTTTGGCAGACTAGGCCCACAATATCTAAGGATTGTTATGGGGATTCTTTGGCAGACTAGGCCCACTATATATAAGGATTGTCATGGGGATTCTGGGACAGACTAGGCCTACAATATCTAAGGCTTGTCATGGGGATTCTGGGACAGACTAGGCCCACAATATCTAAGGCTTGTCATGGGGATTCTGGGACAGACTAGGCCTACAATATCTAAGGCTTGTCATGGGGATTCTGGGACAGACTAGGCCCACAATATCTAAGGATTGTCATGGGGATTCTGGGACAGACTAGGCCCACAATATCTAAGGATTGTCATGGGGATTCTGGGACAGACTAGGCCCACTATATCTAAGGATTGTCATGGGGATTCTGGGACAGACTAGGCCAACAATATCTAAGGATTGTCATGGGGATTCTGGGACAGACTAGGCCAACAATATCTAAGGATTGTCATGGGGATTCTGGGACAGACTAGGCCTACAATATCTAAGGCTTGTCATGGGGATTCTTTGGCAGACTAGGCCCACAATATCTAAGGATTGTTATGGGGATTCTTTTGCAGACTAGGCCCACTATATATAAGGATTGTCATGGGGATTCTGGGACAGACTAGGCCAACAATATCTAAGGATTGTCATGGGGATTCTGGGACAGACTAGGCCAACAATATCTAAGGATTGTCATGGGGATTCTGGGACAGACTAGGCCTACAATATCTAAGGCTTGTCATGGGGATTCTTTGGCAGACTAGGCCCACAATATCTAAGGATTGTTATGGGGATTCTTTGGCAGACTAGGCCCACTATATATATATAAGGATTGTCATGGGGATTCTGGGACAGACTAGGCCTACAATATCTAAGGCTTGTTATGGGGATTCTGGGACAGACTAGGCCCACAATATCTAAGGATTGTCATGGGGATTCTTGGACAGACTAGGCCCACAATATCTAAGGATTGCCATGGCGATTCTTGGGCAGACTAGGCCAACACTATCTAAGGATTGTTATGGGGATTCTGGGGCAGTCTAGTTTCACAATATCTAAGGATTGTTATGGGGATTCTGGGACAGACTAGGCCCACAATTTCTAAGGCTTGTTATGGAGATTCTGGGACAGAATAGGCCCACAATATCTAAGGCTTGTCATGGGGATTCTTTGGCAGACTAGGCCCACAATATCTAAAGATTGTTATGGGGATTCTTTGACAGACTAGGCCCACAATATCTAAGGATTGTTATGGGGATTCTGGGACAGACTAGGCCCACAATATCTAAGGCTTGTCATGGGGATTCTTTGGCAGACTAGGCCCCCAATATCTAAGGCTTGTCATGGGGATTCTTTGGCAGACTAGGCCCACAATATCTAAAGATTGTTGTGGGGATTCTTTGACAGACTAGGCCCACAATATCTAAGGCTTGTTATGGGGATTCTGGGACAGACTAGGCCAACAATAGCTAAGGATTGTTATGAGGATTCTGTTGCAGACTAGGCCCACAATATATAAGGATTGTCATGGGGATTCTTTGGCAGACTAGGCCCACTATATATAAGGATTGTCATGGGGATTCTGGGACAGACTAGGCCTACAATATCTAAGGCTTGTTATGGAGATTCTGGGACAGACTAGGCCCACAATATCTAAGGCTTGTCATGGGGATTCTTTGGCAGACTAGGCCCACAATATCTAAAGATTGTTATGGGGATTCTTTGACAGACTAGGCCCACAATATCTAAGGATTGTTATGGGGATTCTGGGACAGACTAGGCCAACAATATCTAAGGCTTGTTATGGGGATTCTTGGACAGACTAGGCCCACAATAGCTAAGGATTGTTATGAGGATTCTGTTGCAGACTAGGCCTACAATATCTAAGGCTTGTCATGGGGATTCTTTGGCAGACTAGGCCCACTATATATAAGGATTGTCATGGGGATTCTGGGACAGACAAGGCCTACAATATCTAAGGATTGTTATGAGGATTCTGTTGCAGACAAGGCCTACAATATCTAAGGATTGTTATGAGGATTCTGTTGCAGACTAGGCCCACAATATCTAAGGATTGTTATGGAGATTCTTGGACAGACTAGGCCCACAATATCTAAGGATTGTTATGGAGATTCTTGGGCAGACTAGGTTCACAATATCTAAGGATGTTCATGGAGATTCTGGCACAAAGTAGTCCACAATATCTAAAGATTGTTATGGGGGTTCTGGGGCAGACTAGGCCTACAATATCTAAAGATTGTCATGGAGATTCTGGGTCAGTCTAGGCCTCCAATAGCTAAGGAATGTCATGGAGATTCTGGCACAAACTAGTCCACAATATCTAAAGGTTGTCATGGAGATTCTGGGGCAGACTAGTCCACAATATCTAAGGATTGTCATGGAGATTCTGGCACAAACTAGTCCACAATATCTAAGGATTGTCATGGAGATTCTAGCACAAACTAGTCCACAATATCTAAAGATTGTTATGGGGATTCTGGGGCAGTCTAGTTTCACAATATCTAAGGATTGTTATGGAGTTTCTGGGGCAGACTAGGCCCACAATATCTAAGGATTGTTATGGAGATTCTGGCACAAACTAGTTCACAATATCTAAAGATTGTTATGGGGATTCTGGGGCAGACTAGTCCACAATACTCGAGGCTTGTTTGTCCATTCAGGCCACCCACCTGACATGTAGACCTGTATGGATTGTTCAGTGACTGGCGATGTTATGATGACAATGTGTGTTTCAGGGAGGTGGACCTGGGGAGCAGGGTGATCATCAAGATGGACAACTCCAAGACCAGCATCACCAACCTCAAGGTGGGAAGCGTGGTCGCTCAGCTAGGCCTGGATACAGTAAATGCTTTATTCTGAGAAAAATCCAGGGATTGGATTGTAAACACATCAATATATTTCAATCTTTTCAAACAATAAATGTTGTTATCATAGTCATTTTAATAAACCGATTAACCTGATCTAGTTCAATGGATGTGGCTTCTTAGTTTTTAGATACTTGAACGTTCTCTGTAGAAATATGAGGCCTTTATCACTCACATTTTGTGTTACCATGATTACAGATGCCAGAGTCAATAGGAGCTGGGGACTCCGGTCGAGAACAGATGAGGGTGAAGGATTTCACATTTGACCACTCCTTCTGGTCTGCCAACCCCGGTGACCAACACTATGTCTCGCAGGAGAATGTGAGTAGCACATCAGTGATAAGCATTTATCTGTATAACAATGTGGTAGGGAGTTATATCCTTAGTTTATATGTATACGTTTGTAACAGTTATCGCCCAGATAACAGGGTTTCAAGACTTAAACATTTGCTAAATGGTCGGAACTAACAGGTTTTCACTGTATATTAAATTTGTTAATTTGGTGCTAACTGTTTGTTGTATTGCCCTTGTATTGCAGGTGTACAATGCGCTGGGCAGTGAAATCCTGAGTTCAGCGTATGAAGGCTACAATGTGTGCGTGTTTGCCTACGGTCAGACAGGGTCAGGGAAGAGTTACACCATGATGGGTGATTCTGTAAGTACACAGCACCACACTCTCCTTTCTCGGACCGCCTACGTGGTCTAGTGGAGAGAATGTCTGCTCGAAGACCTAAAGGTCAGGGGTTTGATTTCCGCTTGTGTCATACCAAAAGACATTTAAGGATGGTACTTGTTGTTTCCCTGTCTGGTCTGCGTCATTAAGGTGATAAAACAACGAATGCACTGCTCAGAGTCAGTACACTGTCTGCATCCATGTTAAACTGCAGTGTAGTATCTCATTGGGCCAGCACTTTCAAACTGGCATTGGTCCTGACTAATACAAGCAGCCACAAAACAAACACACATGCATGTACGCCGCTATATAAGTGCAATAATCTTGAACATGACTTTAAACCTCATTTTACCTCACCACCTCAACTTTTTCTCAACAGATAAACCGTTAAACCTGTTTTAGTTTCTGAACTTGAATTCTTAGGAATGTGAAAAAAGCTGCCTTCCACTGTTTATTTGCTTGTAATGAAAGACAAACTTCCACATGTGTTGTACCTGTTGAGTGCCCCCAGCATGAAACATGTATGTCTGCAATATCGATGAGACTGACCTCATCCTTATCCCTTCCTCTCTGTCCAAACATTGCCATGCTCATGATGATTACTGATGTAAAAGAGGTTTGGTAGATTTGTAATCAAGTTCAGTGTTAACCAAGTTCTGTTGATGGTTAAAGGGCAAGTTCACACGGAAATGAACCAATTTTTCTTGTACTTTTTCCACATTAAAAGTGTTAACATAGAAGTGTCATAGACAAAAATATAAAAACATCAAATTTAATTAACATATTTTTTGCATTAAAACGATTTATATTTTTCACTTTTACCAAGTGTTCTATTTCCATAACAAAAACACCATGGCTTATGCCCCTTGCAATATGACGTCATTGGTGCCAATTGATAAACATTATGACGTCATCATGCTTTGTTAGAGCCGCTTCACGTGGTGTAGGTACAGTTTTGTGATTCTAGCGTCTCAGATGCCAGCCAGAATTGTGTTATGCTGAGTCACCACTGCGCCGGAGTGTGTCGTAGACCATGTTGTTTTACCGCAAACTGGTCGTTGATATCTTTTGCGTTGAGAATAGACAGGGACCCAGTTGAATTGGCACCAATTACGTCATAATCTAAGGGGGATAACTCAGGCCTATTTCGCTCGTAAAACGAAGGCTTCATAACGGCATATCATTTTCACACTATTGTGAGCTTCCTACTTTCACTGTGAAACAAAATGAGTGTATATTTTCAAACACAGATACTAACTAATTCTAAAATTGCGTTTTGTTTAGAAAAAGAAAGAAAGTGATTTTTGCGTGTACACTTCCCCTTTAAGAATAATACACCTTGTAGGGTGGACAAATTATCAATACCGTATACCCCGCTCCAATAAGCGCCCACAGCGATATTTCCTAATACACTGGCTAGTGAACAATCTCAATAAGCACCCCTTCCAATTGATCAATGTATGCAAGACTTATTTATTCATGTATAAAACGCACTCGTGTGTTATGTGCACCCATTTATGGGCAATTAATTCCTGGAAAAATATATCTGTCGTATATAAACATTTCAGGCTGTCAGTGTAAACCACGAAATTTACAATCTTTCGACTGTTTTTTTTTTACCAAAAGAATGTCCTAATAAGAGGCCCCTATTTCTAATTTTGAGAGCAATAGGACGATTATTACGTTGAATACGGTGTGTGACATTAGGATTGCTTTACAACATTGTCTCTATGTTTTAGGAAAATGAAGGGCTGATTCCCAGGTTCTGTCAGGTAAGTCATCAGTTCAGATAGTTGTTGTGATGATGATTCTAAACGTCATGTCTGTCTGTTCTGTGTTCACCCATTCATGTAAGTACACAAGTACATATTTCCTGAGATTTGGTCCGATTGGTCTCAGGGAAAAGCCTTGTGCAGATACCAAGACACATTAGCCTGTACCCATACTTGTCATAACAGGCAACAAGAAAGGGGATTCCGTGGCCACAATGGCAGCTGAGTATGCCTTACTATGGGCAGTTTGTTTGGATTGCTGCCCACAAGGGATTTTTGGTATAGTGTCATGATTGCCTGTCTCTGAAAAATGCTGGCCTAAAACTCTATTCATACACTCAATAAGAAGAATTGAACTTATTAAGGATATAATACTTTGCGTACAGTTACGTTTGAAGCTCAGTTTTGGTGTGTCAGTAATAAAAAAAGAACCATGACAAATTATTTAATCATGTCAATTGTTTTGCAGAGTTTGTTTTCAAGGATGACAGATGAAAATACTTCTTATCGAACTGAAGTCAGGTAATGAACTATTCACTTAAGATCACTGCTGTCATGAATGGCTAATGTATGGACCACTGAACTGTTTCCTTATTACAAATAGACAGAACCAGATACATCTTTCAAGTCCATGATTATTTGTTGTTATGTTCATGGGGTGCATGGGTGGCCCGCCATTTGCTGTGCAGAGTTGCGTCCCTTGGTCACGCCAGAAACCTATGATTGTGGGTTCGAATGCTGGTTCACCCTGATTATGTTTCTAGGTTTGTCAGCACCATACCCATGCTCATGGGCTTCCCCAAAGTGGTAAATGTCTGAGACCTGCATCATTTTGTCCTTTCCGGACACAGTAACTGGAATACTGTCGAAAGAGGCATTATAACCAACTCACTCATTCACTAATGTTCATGGCCGAAAAAGGTGCCTGGTAACAGTGTCAGAACTAATTGCATTTGTATCCCTAGCCACTGCATGCATTCCTGCGCTTCTTCGTCGTCGGTTAAAACTTAAACAATACAGTAAACTACTTTTATAACGAACACGCTTATAACAAACTGACGGATGTAACGAACTTATTTTTTTGTCCCGACTATTTGCTGTAGTTATGCTGTATATATGTAATAACAAACTACGGTTATAATGAACTAAAATTAGTGGTCCCGTTGAGTTCGTTATAACCGTAGTTTACTGTATTGCATCACACATTGTGGACCTGGGTGGTCCAGTCTTTTAAGGTGCCATATTTCGCTGTGCAGAGTTGTGTCCCTTAGGCTGCTTGAAACCTGTGATCATGGGTTGGTGGAATCGTGGTTCGTCCTGATTAAGTTTCATGTTTTGTCAGCACTGTACCATGCTTATGGGTTTTGCCAAAGTGGTAAATGTCTAAGACCTGCATCAATATGGGCTTCCCTCCTATGGCAAGCTGACACATTGTGATATTGTTGTAAGTGGTGTCAACATGGGTAAACCATACTCTCATCACTCATCAAACAACATTCACTCACACAGTAGCTCATGTTTGCTTGCAGTTACCTGGAAATCTACAATGAGAAAGTGCGCGATCTCCTCCGTCCGAACTCCACCAATAAGCCAGTGTACAGCCTGCGTGTCCGGGAACACCCTAAAGAAGGCCCATATGTCCAGGGTGAGTAGTGCAGGCACAGCTTCCCAGCTCGGGACTCTGAGGGGTAGAACAGTTCCCCAGTATCCCAGGCTTTCATAGAATAAAATGAAAAAAATAAAAAAGTGGTAAGATATAAGGTGTTAATATGGTTTCTTATTACAGGGGACCAGTATTTAGATCTGACTTCACTGGGTCCCCCGTGGATCCTTGACATGATGGCCACATGCCTCAGATCTGCCTTCACTGGGTCCCCCATGGATCCTTGACATGATGGCCGCATGCTTCAGATCTGACTTCACTGGGTCCCCCCGTGGATCCTTGACATGATGGCCGCATGCTTCAGATCTGACTTCACTGGGTCCCCCGTGGATTCTTGACATGATGACCACATGCTTTAGATCTGACTTCACTGGGTCCCCCGTGGATCCTTGACATGATGACCACATGCTTCAGATCTGACTTCACTGGGTCCCCCGTGGATCCTTGACATGATGACCACATGCTTCAGATCTGACTTCACTGGGTCCCCCATGGATCCTTGACATGATGGCCGCATGCTTCAGATCTGACTTCACTGGGTCCCCCCGTGGATCCTTGACATGATGGCCGCATGCTTCAGATCTGACTTCACTGGGTCCCCCGTGGATTCTTGACATGATGACCACATGCTTTAGATCTGACTTCACTGGGTCCCCCGTGGATCCTTGACATGATGACCACATGCTTCAGATCTGACTTCACTGGGTCCCCCGTGGATCCTTGACATGATGACCACATGCTTCAGATCTGACTTCACTGGGTCCCCCGTGGATCCTTGACATGATGGCCACATGCCTCAGATCTGCCTTCACTGGGTCCCCCATGGATCCTTGACATGATGGCCGCATGCTTCAGATCTGACTTCACTGGGTCCCCCCGTGGATCCTTGACATGATGGCCGCATGCTTCAGATCTGACTTCACTGGGTCCCCCGTGGATTCTTGACATGATGACCACATGCTTTAGATCTGACTTCACTGGGTCCCCCGTGGATCCTTGACATGATGACCACATGCTTCAGATCTGACTTCACTGGGTCCCCCGTGGATCCTTGACATGATGACCACATGCTTCAGATCTGACTTCACTGGGTCCCCCATGGATCCTTGACATGATGGCCGCATGCTTCAGATCTGACTTCACTGGGTCCCCCCGTGGATCCTTGACATGATGGCCGCATGCTTCAGATCTGACTTCACTGGGTCCCCCGTGGATTCTTGACATGATGACCACATGCTTTAGATCTGACTTCACTGGGTCCCCCGTGGATCCTTGACATGATGACCACATGCTTCAGATCTGACTTCACTGGGTCCCCCGTGGATCCTTGACATGATGACCACATGCTTCAGATCTGACTTCACTGGGTCCCCCGTGGATCCTTGACATGATGGCCACAGGCTTCAGATCTGACTTCACTGGGTCCCCCGTGGATCCTTGACATGATGGCCACAGGCTTCAGATCTGCCTTCACTGGGTCCCCCGTGGATTCTTGACATGATGGCCGCATGCTTCAGATCTGACTTCACTGGGTCCCCCGTGGATTCTTGACATGATGACCACATGCTTCAGATCTGACTTCACTGGGTCCCCCGTGGATCCTTGACATGATGGCCACATGCTTCAGATCTGACTTCACTGGGTCCCCCGTGGATTCTTGACACGATGGCCACATGCTTCAGATCTGACTTCACTGGGTCCCCCGTGGATCCTTGACATGATGGCCACATACTTCAGATCTGACTTCACTGGGTCCCCCGTGGATTCTTGACATGATGGCCACATGCTTCAGATCTGCCTTCACTGGGTCCCCCGTGGATCCTTGACATGATGGCCACATGCTTCAGATCTGCCTTCACTGGGTCCCCCGTGGATCCTTGACATGATGGCCACATGCTTCAGATCTGCCTTCACTGGGTCCCCCGTGGATCCTTGACATGATGGCCACATGCTTCAGATCTGACTTCACTGGGTCCCCCATGGATCCTTGACAAGATGGCCACATGCTTCAGATCTGACTTCACTGGGTCCCCGGTGGATCCTTGACATGATGGCCACATGCTTCAGATCTGACTTCACTGGGTCCCCCGTGGATTCCTGACATGATGGCCACATGCTTCAGATCTGACTTCACTGGGTCCCCTGTGGATCCTTGACATGATGGCCACAGGCTTCAGATCTGCCTTCACTGGGTCCCCCGTGGATCCTTGTGACATTATCACCATGTACCTCGTGTCAGTTACAAATAAATCTTTCAAACCAGACCTCTTTTGCTTGATGTTCCTCCCAGTTAAGGTGCGGGTCGAACAAGTACACAAGTCTCCAGCAACTTGTGCTGGTTGTAAGATGCGACCCCATGAAAATTCCAGGTTAAATAGGTCCCTAGCAACCTATGCTGGTTGTAAGAGGCGACCCCAAGGGAATTCCAGATTAGATAGGCCCCCAACAATCTATGCTGGTTGTAAGAGGCGACCCCATGGGAACGCCAGGTCCGATAGGACCCCAGCTTCTTGTGCTGGTTGTAAGAGGCAACCCCATGGGAATTCTTGGTCGGATAGGTCCCCAGCAACTTGTGCTGGTTGTAACAGGAGACCCCATGGGAATTCTGGGTTAGATAGGTCCACAACAATTTAAGCTAGTTGTAAGAGGCCACCCCATAAAATTTCCAGGTTAGATAGGTTCCCAACAACCTATGCTGGTTGTAAGAGGCGACCCCAAGGGAATTCAAGGTTAAATAGGTCCCCAACAACCTATGCTTGTTGTAAGAGGCCCACCCTATGGGAATTCCAGATTAGATAGGCTCCAAACAATCTATGCTGGTTGTAAGAGGCGACCCCATGGGAATTCTGGGTCAGATAGGTCACCAGCAACTTAAGCTGGTTGAAAGATGTGTATCCATGGGAACTCTGGATCAGATAGGTCCCCAGCAGCCTATGTTGGTTGTAAGAGTCGACCCTGTGGGACTTCTGGGTTAGATAGGTCCCCAGCAACTTAAGCTGGTTGAAAGAGGTGTATCCATGGGAACTCAGGTCAGATAGACCCCCAGAAACCTGTGCTGGTTGTAAGAGGTGTCTCCATGGGAACTCCGGGTCAGATAGGTCCCCAGCAGCCTATGTTGGTTGTAAGAGGTGTATCCATGGGAACTCAGGTCAGATAGGTCCCCAGCAGCCTATGTTGGTTGTAAGAGGTGCCTTGATGTATCTGTGGCCAGGCTCGATGACTTGGATGTATCATCATACCCATATAGCCTGGATCAGTGATCACAATATCAAATAATGGATTGTCTTGTTCAGACTTGATTATTTACTGGCTGCTGTCACATAGCTGGAATATTGCTGAGAATGATGACAAACAACTTCCATACTGACATTCATTTATCTACTATTTCAGACCTGTCCAAACACATAGTGAAGAAGTATGGTGATATCCACCGCCTGATGAGTAAAGGTAACATTAACAGGTGAGATAGGTACACTTTTTATGTGAGGCCATTATTATCCCCCATGAAGTGGGGTGGGGTATATAGGAACGGAGTTCGTCTTTCTGTTTGTCCGTCTGCTTCACAAAGGGACAAATTTTCTCAAAAAACTATTTTAAGTCAGATAAGTGAAAGTTTACATGATGATGTTACTGGTTATGACCTCAAATGAGTTGGAAAATTGGTGTCGTAAATTCATTGTTTTATGGTTTTGGCCCTTTCTAGATGTTATTTTACTTTGTGCATACAGTGTGAAATGGGAACAAGTTTTCTCAGAAACTATTGACGTTACATGAATGAAAGTTTGCATGCTTATCTGAGAGATATTTGTCAAGATTGAGTTAAAAAATGGGTCCTGTAATATATTATTTACAGAGTTATGGCCCTTGATCCATGTTTTTTTTTAACTAGGTGCATAGTGTCTGCAATAGCAGATAGGGACAAGTTTTCTCAGAAGCTACTTAAGTTAGCTTATCTAAGAGATACCTTTTAAGACTAAGTTATTTTGTCCAGAGAAGGGGCCTTTTGTGTGTATTTATTTCACATTTAATCATTTTATTCTGATGACATAAAGCTGCCCAAGTGCCTAGCTCTTCTTAAGGCTTTATGGGACTATTTCTTATAGTTTATGCTCACTACTTAATGAACAAACATGGCTGGGGATAGTGAAAACGCTGTTTTCTTTCTTTCTTTTTCGTTCGATCCTCAATCCACCAGCCCTATTTTCTTTTTCGTTATACATGCAAAATTAAATGAAGACACTCCCATGGGGTTAATTGATCCCGATCTGAATCATGCATATGATGGATCACACCACCAAATGGTGAGATTTAAGTTATCAGGTTAAGGTAAAACGTGTGGTTTAGGGTAAAAATATAACTTATACTTATCTTAACTAATACTCTATGGCGCCTATCCAGCCAGCCCCGCTTCCGGTATATGTGTTTCGGTCGTAAGGGTGAGTGACATGAGAGAGTGGAGTGTATACAGGCTTGGTCATGTGCTTCCTGTGCGGCTGTGTGGCTGTGTGGCTGAGGGATGTGTTCGGGTGAGATGTATTTCTCTGTTCTCGGGAACACAGCACAGGAGTTTCCACTACCTTTTCGGATTGAGATGAGATAAGCAATAAGTATGAGTTATAAATGATGTATTTAGCCTAAAAAATATATGTTTGTTTGTTTAACACCACACTATATTCCAGTTGTAGGATGACGGCCTGGAAATAATTGAGTCTGGACAAGGCAAATGAGTGATTGATATTATGAGCAAAGTCCCTTGCCCCTTACGACAAGCGTAGTTTGCCAGGGAACAATTCTACCTCAGATTCCCGGAGGGGTAGATCTTCCCCATAAAAGCTTATATTTGACCACTATTGCCACTTCTTACTTGCTTGTCGTAAGAGGCGACTAACAGGATCGGGTGGTTGGTGCATGTCATCGTATCCCAATTGCGTAGATCGATAGTAACAATGTCAATCACTGGATTGTCTGGTCCAGACATGATTATTTTGCAGACCACTGTCATATAGATGGAATATTGCCAAGTGCGGCGTTAATCAACAAACAAACAAACTTCTTATGTTGAGGATATTGACAAGATGTACCTTGTGTTCTTTCAGAACCACTGCTTCAACCAATATGAATGACGTCAGTAGTCGATCTCATGCTATCTTTACTATAGTCTTTACACAGGTAAGTTGATGGATAGATTAACATTATTTGCAGTGCCATCTCAAAGAGGAGTTCTATTACTCTGTTAATTTTATTTGTACCTACAAATGTTTTACTTTGATGAAATAGGTTTCCATTATTAAACATTTGCTTAGTAGCAAAATACCATATTGGAAAGGGATCTTGGATAGTAATTATTTCATTAGTAAATGAAGTCCTTTTCACTTTGTGAAATGTCTCCGTTTTTTTAATGGAAATTGTACATTGTATCAGAATTTATGATTTTCAGGCATTTGTTAATGTATTGATTTTTATATCTTTCAGGCTCGTTTTGTGGATGAAATGCCTATGGAAATGCATAGTAAGATTCATCTGGTGGACTTGGCTGGCAGGTGAGTGAGCGGGGAGTTGGGGTTTACAGAGGGGGATGGGTTGAGATGGATGAGGGCTGCAGCAAGGGTCTACAGGTACAGATAAGCGTGGTTGGAGGAAATAGAAGTGCCTAAGGTAGGGCTGGGACGAGTCCAAATTTACTCCCTGGGTACCCAACCCCCTATTACCCGACTCTACCCACTAATGCCTGTCTGTCTCAAAAGTTTGATACAAATGTCCAGTTTAGAACTGTTTCACTGGAGTGCTGGCAAAAACTATTTAGATGCATAAATTACATTGAAATTGATTGAAGCTTTATCTTTACTCAAACATATAAAAGTTGGGAGGAATGTGTCCATAGTCAGAAAGGAACATTAGTAACCATACAGTTTTACTGTCATTAAACAATATAAAACATGACTAACCACATGTCTGGCTAGTCCGGTGGGTCCTAATCCGCACCCACACGAACCGAGTACCCAGGTTACCTATCCCAGCCCCAAGGGTTCTGAAGGGATAACAACTGTCTCTTTCAAATTCACTTTAGTGGTATGTGTAAATGTAGAGGACAATTCGCTTCATTTCTTTCCATGCACCTGAATAATGATAGTATCTAGTAGACCAGAACTAGAAATTTCTACTCACTGAAAGATGTCTTGAACATTTTAAGCAGATAGCTTTGGGTGAGAGGAGTGCAAACAATTTTATTGATTGCATAAATAGAATAAGAAAAATATACTTGTTTATATACAAATCTGTTAAAGTCATGAATCCTGTTACAAGTGTTAGTTATGGCTTTGATAACTATAGGCAATCTCATTTTAGTTAGTTGTTTAGATGAAACATATTTTTCTCTTCATGTTAATGATGACTAGGTAGAAGTATCAGGTGTGGTAGCAGATTCAGGGGACACAACTCTTCCAGTCATAGAGAATTGACTTACTCTCACCTCTGTTGAAAACACATGTTATCCTCCCTTTAAATGTCTGATGAGAAGCTATAGCAGACATTGCATTGGTTTCTGTCTGCAGTGAGAGGGCGGATGCATCCGGTGCTACAGGTCAGAGGCTGAAGGAAGGGGCCAGCATCAACAAGTCTCTCGTCACCCTCGGCAACGTCATCTCTGCACTAGGTGAGCCAGATAGGCGTATTATCAGACTGTCTTTTATAAGGTGAGAAAATAAAGACTTAAAAGACTTATATCAGACTGCTATATAAAATGAGAAAATAAAGACTTAAAAGGCTGAATTTTTGTAATTTATATTTTTCTCAAAAAAATATGGAATTGAAAGAAATATATCAACTCAGTATGCAACAAAATTATTTTAAAATGTCTGTATATTTCCAGGGAAATTATTAATAGGGGAGTGTATATTTCTAGGGAGTGTTAATAGTGTAACTGGGGTATCTGAGTAGAGCTGGGATTTCCCTCACTTACTTGTCTGTGTGTTTAACAGCTGAGATGTCGGAGAAGACCAGCAAGAGCAAAATGCCGACTTTCATCCCATACCGAGACTCAGTTCTCACCTGGCTGCTGAAGGACAGCCTTGGGGGCAACGCCAAGACCATCATGATAGCCAGTAAGTACAGGGTGTGCTGAGGTGATACGTACACCATGCCCCTTCTGAAGTAGGTGATACTTAGACCATGCCCAGCCTGCAGTAAGTGATACTTAGACCATGCCAAACCTGGAGAAGGTGATACTTAGACCATGCCAAACCTGGAGAAGGTGATACTTAGACCATGCCAAACCTGGAGAAGGTAATACTTAGACCATGCCAAACCTGGAGTAGGTGAAACTCAGACCACATGTAGGCCCTTGATTATTTACAGGCTGCCTGAATATTGCTGACTACAGCATAAATGAAGATGCAAACCTCCTGTGTCCTTACAACACTAAGAGGCTGTTCTGTCTGTTACAGCTATATCACCTGCAGATGTTAATTATGGAGAAACACTGAGTACTCTCCGGTATGCAAATCGGGCCAAGGACATCATCAATCGTCCAACAATTAATGAGGATCCAAATGTGAAACTGATTCGAGAACTGCGAGAAGAAATTGCACGTTTACAAGGACTTATCGGAGGGGATGTGGTGAGTCGCAATTTCATCTTCTTGTTGATCGATGTAACTGGAGCATGTAGAAGATTAGGTTATACAATAACTTTATAATGAAATATTTTCAGTGTAACCTTGATTCTACGGTTAAGTTCTCAGTGCGCTGAATGCCAAATTCTAGATGAATAAATAAATATATAGCTGTTCCCAGGAGTAGTTGTCTGGAAAGCAAGGTTGCAGAACAATTAGGGTCAAGACTAAGCTTTATTTATGTAGTAGGAAACACTTGACTTAAAAATACAAGTTTCATATATTCAAATCAGATTATTAAGACTTGGGTTAGTATCAGAAAGATGACATGAAAATGTTATAAAGTGTTTATGCATATCGTGATACACACCAACTGCCCCGTGTAGACCCAAGCTACTACATTTTACCCTTTGTTACCAGCTAGGTTTTACAGCATGTTGAACAATATTTTCTGTTTTCAGAATGGGATGGCATCTCCCAAAGTGCAAGAAAAACTTCATGAGAATGAGGCTAGGGTAAGTTTTGTTCTGATCTTTGTACTGTAAGGGGAAATAAAATAATAGTCTTGGTTCTCTGGCACTACCCGCATCATCATAAAGTCTGGGGGCGGTCGGGTAGTCAAGTGGTCAAAGTGTTCGCTTGTCATGCCGAAGACCCGGGTTCGATTCCCGACATGGGTACAATGTGTGAAGCCCATTTCTGGTGACCCCTGCTGTGATATTGCTGAAATATTGCTAAAAGTGATGTAAAATCATACTCACTCACTCACTCACTCATAAAGTCTGCAGCACGTTTGTCTTTATTTCCATTTTCAAAGAAATATATAAATCCTAATACTTAAAAACAGTCGATCCAGTATGTCACACAGTTACTTCCCTTTACATGCACACTGCTTTACTGCGAATGTCATGTTATGGTCATGGCAGCAAAAGGAGTTTGTATGCTTGTTTATGTAGGGAGGCTCTTTCCCAGGTTCATGGTACTCAACAGTTTATTTGGTAACATACTATTTAAACAAGCAAAAAAAATAAAAACACACGCCCGCCCTTCACTATGTTTTCAAAAGTCATTGCCTGAGATCTAATTTATGAATAACAGCTGTAAGAGCAGACTTTGTGCAAGTGCAGACTTGGTGTAAGTGCAGACTTGGTGTAAGTGTAGACTTGGTGTAAGTGCAGACTTGGCGTAAGTGCAGACTTGGTGTAAGTGCAGACTTGGCGTAAGTGCAGACATGGTGTAAGTGCAGACTTGGTGTAAGTGCAGACTTGGTGTGTTTGTGTTTCCAGATCAAGATCCTCACACAGGAGTGGGCCGGGAAGTGGAAGGAGGCTGCCAGCATCCTACAGGTAACTCCCATCACTGACTCCCATCACTGACTCCCATCACTAACTCCCATCACTAACTCCCATCACTAACTCCCATCTCTAACTCCCATCACAGACTCCCATCTCTAACTCCCATCACAGACTCCCATTACTAACTCCCATCACTGACTCCCATCACTGACTCCCATCATTAACTCCCATCACTAACTCCCATCACTGACTCCCATCACTAACTCCCATCACTAACTCCCATCACAGACTTCCATAACAGACTCCCATCACTAACTCCCATCACTAACTCCCATCACTAACTCCCATCACTAACTCCCATCACAGACTCCCATCCCTGACTCCCATCACTAACTCTCATCACTGACTCCCATCAACTAGATGCTTTTCATCAGGATTTCAGGGCCTGTTCTCCCAAGCGATCTTATTACCTGAATGTTGTAAGGCTATGTTATAGTATGGGAGTTACGATCATCTAAGTGCTAAGATCCTTTGTGTTATCATATCCCATCAATATGCTACTCAACTTTTGATAGGGATAATCAGATGTCATTCTATTTAAATATATACTTTATATATAATGAGAATAATTGTTGTGTATCATGGAAGGACACAAATATCCCTATCCAATGTAGAGTAGCATATGTTATTGCTTATATTATAGCCCATCAACTGCTGCTTTATGTGGCTCACACTCCATTGTTTTCATCATGAGATAGAGTCGTAATATTGCTATCTGCAACAAACAGAATATTCACTTGCTACTTCAATTCTTATTTTGTACATTGTCTGGTATCTGCAACTAGATTTCTGTGGTAAGAAAGGGAGGACTTTGAGTAGGGTAGAGACTGGTGTCTTGGTGATAGATGGGGATATATTGTGTCTGTGAGAGTCACTGAGATAGCCCATGACTACAATACTGACCTTGTATTGAACAGGAGCAGAAGACGCTGGCGCTGAGGAAGGAAGGGCTTGGCGTGGTCCTGGACTCAACACTGCCACATCTGATTAGGTTTGAGGATGACATTCTCAGCACTGGCATCATGCTGTACCACCTCAAGGTAGCCATGTTGGATGAACTTGCTCCCAACCACCCACTCATGTTCTGTTCAGCCTAAGTTATGTAGTTAGGTTATCTCCTTGTGATAGGTAGTATTGCATATATTTGGTACAGATCTTCTACAATGTAACATTGCATTTGTCAAATATTGTAGGCAGTTTTAAGCTACCACATTTGGCTGTGCAAAGCTACCTCCCTTGACCCTGCCTACAAGGTTATGTATACTAGTGTATACTAGTCTGGACTCATGTCGGTTTTATAGTGCTGCTCCACTGAGATACCATGCCACAGTTCAATGTGGATACTCCAGTCACACAGTCCAACAAGTCCTTGTTTATTCCCTCAATGCCGAGAGCCAGACAGGGAAACAACAAGTACCTACTTTTAATGTCTTTTGGTATGACTCAGCTGGGGATCGAACCTCTGGACTACTGCTCTCACCACAGAGACTGCAAGAATATGTTGATCAATTGTTTGTGTCCCAAATTAGCCCAGACCTCTCAGGACCATACCTCTGTGCTTATGGGTTTCACTGAAAGTGCTTTGGTTTCACATTTCATCCGACCAGTGAAGAAGCAGGGTAGAATAGGTCTTCAGCAACCCATGCTTGCTGTAAAAGGCCATTATGCTTGTCGTAAGAGGCGACCTACGGTGGTCAGGCTCGCTGACTTGGTTGATGCGTGTCTTCGTATCCCAATTGCGTGGATTGATTCGCGTGATGTCAATCACTAGATTGTCTGGTCCAGACTCAATTATTTGAAGACTGCCATCATATAGCTGAAATATTGCTGAGTGTGGCGTTAAACAACAAACAAACAAACTACTTTCCTCCCACATTTAGCAGACATGTTTTGATATTATTGAAAAACTAAAGCTGTGTAAGAATGATCTCGCTTCCCCTAGGAATTGGCCCTCCAGTGGTTATACAGATGGTGTATTGTGTTCCAGGAAGGGGTGACTACTATCGGCGTCGATGAAGCAGGGGCTGCTGTCAATGGCCCGCGTCCTGATATTGGTGTGTACAAACTTACACTTCTACGTTCTCTTGATAATCATACCTTGTTATGTCGCATAGGGAGGTGTCTCTCTGGCCTCCAGTTGATAAACTCACGTGCAGTTTGTTTGTAAGAGGGTCCTGATGGGTGGGTCCCATAAGCAGTAAGCAGTAAAATTTAGGTTACTTTTTCATTAAGCAGTATTTTTCTTCTTTTTCAATAAAATCGTCGCAAAAAATTCCTAAATCAGCCATGGCAGGACATGGGACTTTTAGTTCTGCTTTCGTTTCATCCTGACAATTCATATTTTTAATACCTGGTAAAATCTCAAGCCTGCTTTCTGTGGCGAAGCATTTGGGTCTTGAAGACAGACTGTTTTTTACCATTTTAATCATTTTACGATAAGCAGTAAATTATTTATTTACGTTAAGCAGTTATTTTTTGGTATTTTAAGATAAGCATTTACGATAAAAAAAGATGACCTTTATGTTTACGATAGTGTTTGAAGGGTGTTTTACGTTAAGCATTAAAACCCATCACGAACCCTCTTGTAACCAAGCAGTACAATGGGAAACATATTGACTCCCTTGACAGGCCTTGGAGTGGAGAAATGTAAATTGGTCTAAAATGACAAAATTAATACTGGGAAATGTCATCTATTGAGTTCGAATGCATTGTTTATTTCCAGTGTCATCAACATAAGAAGAAAGACTTCTGGCTGTTTTGGGTTATGTTTGTTTATTTCTTTGCACATTGTATTATGATTATAATGAAGAGAGTTAATGGATGTCAACGTCTTTTTTATGAGGAACACAATAGTATTTTTTTCATAATAATAACAAAAATTGTTTTATTCATAAATATTTGTCCCTCGGTGTACCTCCTCACAATGTGGAGAGATGCCTGAGTGCACTCACAGCAGTTGGTTGGGAAATATTCAGTGAGTGAGTGAGTGAGTATGGTTTTACGCCGCTTTTAGCAATATTCCAGCAATAGCACGGCGGGGGACACCAGAAATGGGCTTCACACATTGTACCCATGTCGGGAATCGAACCCCGGTCTTCCGCGTGACGAGTGAACGCTTTAACCACTAGGCTCCCCGACCACCCCGGGGAAATATTCAGACTTGCTCGCTGGCATAGGCGGTTGATTGTGTGCCATTGTACCTTGGCATCATGGAACATTGATCCTACTGTTAGACACTGGTTTTCCTGGCTCAGATTTTATATTTGCAGGCACCCATGCATTATATACTGTAAATCCTGAAATTGATGTCTCCCAAAATTATTGTAAGCTTTTCCCTAGCCAAATATGAATTATGAAATTAAAAGATGAAATCATTGTTTCCGTCCATTCGCAAAAACCTGACGTGACAATAAACTCCAATATGTCCAGATAATAATGTGTCATTTTATTAATGCCAGTAAGGGACACTCGCATTTTCATATCAATTTCATTCTCACAATTTCATGATTTACAGGAGTTTGAATATTGTTAACTGCAGAAGACTCAATGAATAGTAAATATCTGAATATTGTGGTGCATGTTCAGCATGTGTTAAATATCATCACAGACATGAGATGCATTTGTGTCAACACCAGAAGTGTATAAAAGGGTGTTAGTGCATACTTAACAATAGTGTACCAATTGATGCAGGTATGGTACCAGGTGACCTTTATCTGCTTCAGATAACTCTTGTGTAACAACCTAAGCAACAATTCTACTGTAGATAATAGGTGTCAAACAAAATATTGACACAGATATGTAGATAAAAATGAAACTGTTCATTCAAGACTCCATGACTCCATGTGCTAATCCTACAGATAAATTCCATAGTTAGGGGTCCTTGTCCTCTGACGAGGCTGCATCTGCGGAGGAGACTAGATTGCCTTGAACTCATTGAAATGTTGGCCCAATAAATGCAGCAAGTGAAGTGAAGGAAGTTTGGAAAGTATCTCACCAGGTCAGTCCAGACAAAAGGTGGTACCGAACTGAGTAAGTAAAGGTCCAAATTTGACTGCAGGCATTCTGAAAGAAACGTTCTTCGACTTGCCTGTGTAACGTGTTTACAAGGAACACAAAGAGGCCTACCTGCCTGCATGTGTATTTTTCGACATTGTTGCCAGTGAGCCTGTTAATGTTTGTCAGTTGTGTATTAATTTCATCTTTTGTTTCCACAGCTCTGTCTGGTCCTGAAGTTGAACGTGAACACTGTGAGATTCGATACTATGACAAAGACGTGTTTCTCCACCCTCTAGAAGATGCTTTTTGTATGGTCAATGGCTACCCTGTCAATGAACCAGTCAAACTTACTCAAGGTAGGGCCTGCATCTCTGGAATAAAATAAGAATGTTGACAGGAGTAATTTTCGTAATAAGGAAATATCTGACTGATATGTAATTTGTGAAATGAGTTCAGTTGAAACAACATTGAAATTAGTTGTGAGTTTGTTGTTGATTTGTGTAAAATGCTTCAAATATCCTTTTCAATATTAGTTTAACTGATTCTGGATGGTTACAAATGTTTTGTATTTTCCTGATATTACACATTAAGAAAAAGCAGTTAACATCACTTGAAATTTTAAAATCTTATTCCTCAAATGGTAAGGCCCATTTTGTATGTGATGGGAAATGGTCATATTAAATAATGTATAGTTTCATCATTGAATATTTGCAATAAGCAACCAGTAGTGAATATATAATTATTTATTCTCTCCACAATCAATTATTGACACTGACCATGAATCATTGCATCGATACAGGTCACCTTGTCAATGATCAACTGTAACTTATCATAGGAACATCCATCTTCACTAGGCAAGGGAGTTAACTGACTTTAAAAGTCCAGTTTCCACCCTTGCCAAACTAGGCTGGTATTATGGAGTTATATTTTGGCTGGACTAACAAGTATATTCATAGTCCAATCAAAATTGCGTAACAAAATCGCAATCTGGTTTGTCAGTCAGATGTCCGGTAGATTGCAGGACTTGCAAAGCATGTGCCCTGCCAACTTAGCGTCAACAGATATTTTCAAAGTCTTTTCATGTTTTTAATCCAGGTGCTCACGGTTCAACCCTAGAAATTCCAGCCTAGTTCGGCAAGGGTGAATACTGGACTTTTATAGTCACTTAACTCCCTTGCCTCGGGAAGATGAGGAACGTCAATGTCAAATGTATAAACATAAAACTGAGTTATCTCCCCCTGCAGGTGTTGTGATTGTTCTGGGAAGAACTAACATGTTTCGCTTCAACCATCCAGAAGAAGCAGCTAAGATGAAACAAGAACTCAGCAAGGTAAAAATAAATTGAAAATAGAAAAAGCTGCAACTGCTCCTGGCCCATTTAAAATGTCCTGGGGATGAATGTGTCTCCAGTATGTCAGTGAATGTATGGTATTCATTGTGCAGAGGTGTGTACCCCAGACCATGATCATTGGTTTGAAACCCCAGATTCACCCTGAATATGTCAGAACTATACCTGTGCTTGTGGTTTCACTAAAGACCTGCAACACTTTAGGATTTCCTCTCACATCTGACTGTCATGCCTTGCTATGACTGAAATACTGTGCAAAGCGGAAATAAACTTACTCACTCACTCACTCAATCACTCACTCACTCACTCACTCACTCACTCAACTATCAACTCAACCACTCACTCAACCACTCACTCAACTATCAACTCAACCACTCAACCCCTCACTCAACCACTCAACCACTCACTCAACCACTCAACCACTCACTCACTCACTCAACCAACCACTCAACCACTCACTCACTCACTCACTCACTCACTCACTCACTCACTCACTCACTCACTCACTCACTCAACCAACCACTCAACCAACAACTCAACCACTCACTCAACCAACAACTCAACCACTCACTCAACCACTCACTCACTCAACTATCAACTCAACCACTCAACCCCTCACTCAACCACTCAACCACTCACTCAACCACTCACTCAACCAACCACTCAACCAACCACTCACTCACTCACTCACTCACTCACTCACTCACTCACTCACTCACTCACTCACTCACCCACCCACCCACCCACCCACCCACCCACCCACCCACCCAACCAACCAACCAACCAACCAACCACTCAACCAACCACTCAACCAACCACTCAACCACTCACTCAACCACTCACTTAACTACTGGGGCGGTCGGGTAGCCTAGTGGTTAAAGCGTTCGCTCGTCACGCCGAAGACCCGGGTTCGATTCCCGACATGGGTACAATGTGTGAAGCCCATTTCTGGTGTCCCCCGCCGTGATATTGCTGGAATATTGCTAAAAGCGGCGTAAAACCATACTCACACACACACACACTCAACTACTATTTCAACCATTCATTCCTCTCACATCCGACTCTCACGCCATGCTTTGACTGATATACTGTTCAAAGCGGAGATAAACTCACTCACTCACTCACTCACTCACTCAGGAATATAACCACTCACTCACTCACTCACTCAGGAATATAACCCAAAGTAGTGTTAAACCCAACTCACTCACTGTATAGATGATAGATCTATGGTAGGACTCAAGGAAATAATCTGTTCATGGAACAATTTCTTCAGAGGTTTTACAAAAAGAAAAATATACGTTTTTCCATTGACAATCTGGATATTCTTAAAAAGATTTTGGCTTTGCATTTCAGAAAAAAAACCTTGTGTGTTGTGAAGCACACCCTGAGAAATCTATTGTTTCAAACAAAATTCCTAGACAAAAGTTTTGTTGTATTTCACTCTCAGCAGAATCTGTTGATGTTTCTTTATCCATACTTTCCAAAAATATTCAAGAAATTCTCCACATTTGTGTAAAACTTCACAGCATTTGATGAGTTGAGTATCACTGGTAGAAAAAGTAGGTAGTCTGTATTCTGTATTTAGCCCCAATCTTGACAGTGTCCTGTTAGTGTATTCTCTGCAAACTGCTGCATTGTCCGTCTGCTCCACTCTGTGTTTGCACACCATCCTAATGTTGACAATTTCAGATGGGGTTTGAGCAGAGGGGCTGCACACATCACGATGTGGTCCAGCCAGGTTAATTACCTCGGACACTCATCACGACCTGTCGACTTTATAAATCCAATGTATTCCTGAATAAAATTGTATCAAGAAGAGTGTGGAAAGAGCTTGGAAGGTTAACCGTTTCCAGAGCTGCTATGTTGGATGTGTGCTATGTATGTTAGGTGTGGGGACAGAATTTAAATGTCCACTATGTGTTGGTACATTCCAAGCCTAGCAAACAGGGCCAGGATTAGCAGTGGACCGCTGTGCAGGTCAAGTCAATATTGAACGATGATCTGTGATAATGAAATTACCAGGCATCCTTATCATGACTGTGGGGACGTCAGGCCAACAATGGCCATCACAGTGTTTCTCAAACTCCCTTTATAAACTAGAGTGTCTCACGACAACTGTGTAGGTTTGGCCGTCTTGATCATGTTGAATAGACTCTGTATTGGTTTTATCCATTATGTTCATTCCCTCACATGTCTATTGTTAATTATCCGTTCTCTTTGTCTTTGGTGTTTGCCTTTGCTGTACTTAAACAACATGCCAAGCCGATGCTTCTTTTTTTTCTCTCTGTTGCATTTATTTATAATGTTATGATATATGTTTGGGTTACTTTTCTTACACTGTTAACATTTAATTCTGTCAGTAAGGTAAACAATATGTTTATGCTATTACCATGTGATGGGATGTATTTTGTTTTCACCATGAATGATACTTTGTTTGATGAGAAATCGGACCTTGTGCAATCTTGGCGTGACCTGTGGACATTCATTTGTAAACACAATATTTACTGTCATGGCCTTCCGTTTCAGTCTACCTCAAATCTGAATCTTTCGACAAACTCCCTCCTGAGTCACTCTCGTACATCTCTGCTGAGCCACTCCATGACAGATCTGTATCGGTCAACAGACAGCCTCTCTCCACAGAGCTCAGGGTGAGTGGGGACTGGGGGTGGGGCGGGCGGTGGAAGGGGGTGGGGGTTAGGGAGAGATTGTTTGATTTCAGGCAGTTGTGACTTAGTCTAATGCATGTTTAAAGCAAATAGCAGGTTCTTCCTTGCGAATGTTTACTGGCCTACTGACAGCCTCTCTTCACAGAGCTCAGGGTGAGTGTGGGGGGTGGGGCAGGCATTGAAAGGGGGTGGGGGTTAGGGAGAGATTTTTTATTTCAGGCAGCTGTGACTTTGTCTAATGTGCATTTATAGCAAGTTCTTCCATGCCAATGTGTACTGGTCTACTCACAGCCTCTCTCCACAGAGCTCAGGGTGAGTGTGGGGGGTGGGGCAGGCATTGAAAGGGGGTAGGGGTTAGGGAGAGATTTTTTATTTCAGGCAGCTGTGACTTTGTCTAATGTGCATTTATACCAAGTTCTTCCATGTCAATGTGTACTGGTCTACTGACATCCTCTCTCCACAGTGCTCAGGGTGAGTGTGGGGGGTGGGGCAGGCAGTGAAAGGGAGTGGGACAGGCAGTGAAAGGGGCTGGGGGGTAGGGAGAGATTGTTTGATTTCAGGCAACTGTGACTTAGTCTAGTGGGTATTTACAGCAAATAGCAAGTTCTTCCATGCCAGTAAGCACCGGTCTGTGTGTTGTATGCTTTCACTTAGGAGTGGACATTTCTGCTTAGCTGCTTAATGACCGGCCTGTACCTAGTGTTATCAGAAATCAATGGAAATACTTTTCACCAAGTATCTTATAACTATCTCTGACCGCCTGTGGTCTAGTGGTAGAGTATCCGCCCGGAGAGGAAGTTCCAGGGTTTGGTTCGATCCTCAGCTGCGTCATACCAAAAGACGTTAAAAGATGGTACTTGTTGTTACTTGCACTCGGCATTAAGCGGCTAAAACAAGGACTGGTCGACACAAACACAAACACACACACACACACATCAGTCATTAATCAATAATCTGAACACAAATTGTGCTGTTACATGAAGCATGACAATTTTATCACTAAAGAGCCCCTTGGTATTGTGCAAAATTGTCTCAGGTAGTGCCTACGTAAGACAATATGATGAACATGTTCAGTCTGAAGCAGCAAAGAAAGGTTTACCAGTTATTTCCAAAAAGCTCCGGCTAGGCCTGCTACGTGTGAAGACCATTGCATGAAGGTCAGACCAGCTAGATGAGCGTTTTGTTGTTGGTCATCATTGACTCCTAGCCTGATGTGATTCCCTTTGTATAGATCTCAAACCTAACCATCTTAGATAGTTAATGATTACATATTGTCCATACTGGGGTAGTTGTCCATAATTAAGTGTTGTCATTACTTGTTCTGAGATTTCTTACAGTTTGGTCATATAATGGTTGGATAATTTACATGTGTCTTAGTTGAATTTTAGCTCACCTCAGCGTCATCAATGTCAGATGATGTCATGGGCCTTTGGTCGTCAATCCAGTATGCAATGTTACCATGCCCACTATACTTATGACAATGTTCATGTTAAAGAAATCCAACTGTATGTCTGTTGGTCTGGGGTTTTGTACCTGAGATACATGGCTTTGTGGGGCATGGATGGCACAGTCGTCTAAGGCACCGCAATTCACAGAGTTGTGATACTTGGACACGCCAGTAACTTGTTCACCCCGATAATGTTTCTAGGTTTGTCAGCACCTTGTTGGTTTCACCAAAGTGGTAAACATCTGAGACCTGCATCACTTCGGGCTTTCGTCCCACACGGTGTGATATAACTGGAATACTGTTAAAAGCAGCGTTAAACCCAACTCACTCACTCACTCATTGTGGGTTTCACAAAAGTGGTAAACATCTGAGACCTGCGTCACTTCGGGCTTTCAGCCCACATCAAGCTGACATGGCGTGAAATAAATGGAATACTGTTAAAAGCAGCGTTAAACCCAACTCACTCACTCACTCATTGTGGGTTTCACCAAAGTGGTAAACATCTGAGACCTGCGTCACTTCGGGCTTTCGGCCCACCTTAAGCTGACACGGCGTGATATAACTGGAATAGTGTTAAAAATGGTGTTAAACACAACTCACTCACTCACTCATTGTGGGTTTCACCAAAGTGTTAAACATTTGAGACCTGCGTCACTTCGGGCTTTCAGCCCACATCAAGCTGACATGGTGTGAAATAAATGGAATACTGTTAAAAGCAGCGTTAAACCCAACTCACTCACTCACTCATTGTGGGTTTCACAAAAGTGGTAAACATCTGAGACCTGCATCACTTCGGGCTTTCCTCCCACATCAAGCTGACACGGCGTGATATAACTGGAATACTGTTAAAAGCAGCGTTAACCCCAACTCACTCATCTGGATTTGTAGCTCATCCCCATTATGCATGTAACATTCAGATTGTGTTCACCATGAATAGCTTCATTACTTTGGTGTTACTTCTTTAGGCACAATTCACAATTGTTTGACGTGGATGAGCACTTGAAGAATAAAACACATTTCAGTAACATGTTTTGTTTTGAAATCGTTTCAAAATCAACATCCATACAGATTATACTCATTTTTAACTTGTGATGGGAATATCTTGATTCTGTACCCCTGTTTAAATCCAAGGGATTTTAACCCATATTTCGTACATGCCATGAGGAGCTGCAATGGCTGCTGAATACTTTGTTGGCCATTTAGTGTGTCATCAAACACTTAATGCTGGTTTAACGTTCAGATGTTTACCACTTTGGTGAAAACCACGGGTATGGTGCTGACAAACCTAGAAACATAATCGGGGCGAACCGGGATTCAAAGCCACAATCATAGGTTTCTGGCAAGCCCAAATGACGCAACTCTGCCCAGCAAATTGTGGCACCTTAGACGACTGGGCCACCATTGCCCCCTGATGATTTATTTGTTGTAAGTTTATTAGCCTAGATTTAATATTTGCTCCCCGGCATGTGAGTATTGTGTGCACACTAACTGCATGTGTCTGCATGTCTCTGTTCCAGTTGGGAGCTTGAGCATGTCCACAGAGAGGAGCTTGAGAAGCTGGATCAGAAGAGGTGAGCAGACGCAACATCAGTACACATACAGAGTGGTCCTTTTAGGAACCTTATGCTAGAGAGAGGTTCCTTTTGGAGTTCCTGTGGGGATTCTGGAACAGAATAGGTCCAAAACATGACACGTTTGTCAATTAGAATATGTTTAAAATAAACAGAGGCCAACAATCCATCCAAAAAAAGCTTCAAAGATGTATTTTGCTTTGTTGGTATCTGACAGTGCGAAAACATCAAAATTAGAGGCGATGACTTGATGGATACACAAATAACCAACATTGTGAATAGTTATAATTTGAACAATGATCTTTCTTTTTGCATTACCATGTGTGGTAGTTGTGTGGAAGACTGGGTGACATGCCCCTTACTTGTCGTAAAAAGCCAACTAATGAAGAATTGTTGGTTACAAGGTGTGACCTTCATGACCAGGGCCCACTTGCACAAAACAATCTGATCGCTAAGATGATCGTAACTCCCATACTTTAACATAGGCTTACAATAGTCGTAGCGCTAAGATCGCTTTGTGCAAGTGGGCCCTGGAGCCTGTTCCACAAACTGATCTTAGCATTTTGACTGTCGTAAGTCGGTGTACAAGTAGGAGCGTTATAATCGTCTTATCGCTAAAATCCCACTGTGGAACATGATCCAGATTTGCATCTCCCTTGAACTGCGACAATTAATATAAATGAGAATAGTATTAAGGAGTTGTAACTTGTATTCAGACAGGAGATTGAGGAACTGGAGGAGAGATATCGTGGCATGGAGGAGGACCGGATGATACGTCAGATTGAGCTAGAGCAGGAGCTGTCGGAGAAACAGGAGTGTCTGGAGGAGATGAGGGAGAGTCTGCAACAGCTGCAGCACATGCTCGGGACAGAGGTCAGTATGGTAGGGTCGGAGGTCACTCTAGACTTTGGGATCAGTTCACACTATGTACAAGAGTCTGATGTCAGTGTTGTGTCACTGCATGAAGGGGTCAAATGTCAATACATAGAATGGTGTCAGGTGCTGGCACAGAAGGAAATAACACTGTCATTAGATGCTCCGATGCTGTTAACCAAGATTGAATGTCGGAATGTATTTGTTGTGTATGAGGGAAACACATAGGTTCAAAGGGTCTCTTCAAAACTAGAACAATTGATCTTGTAGAATCTGTATGTTGTATGATCCCTGCTGTATGAGGAAGTGTGTGCTGCAGGACGAAGCAGAGCGGCCGGACTACGAGGGCATGCTGCAGAAGCTGGATGAGCGGGAACAACAGCAGCTGACGTCTGCTCGCAGGATGAAGGCAGAGCTGGAGGAGGTGAGTCAAACAGGTCATCACTGTTACAGCTTGTCGTTTGAAGCTATTAGTCAGTACCATAGATACCAGGAACTACTGGTTGTTGGTCAAGCCTACATATCCCCAATGGTGATCCTTGGCTGGTCAGCACCAGGAACTACTGGTTGTTAGTCAAGCCTACATATCCCCAATGATGATCCTTGGCTGGTCAGCACAAGGAACTACTGGTTGTTAGTCAAGCCTACATATCCCCAATGGTGATCCTTGGCTGGTCAGCACCAAGTTTTAGGTTTCTAAAATGTGATAAACTTCTGTAACTCTATTTCTTTCGACTTAAGCTGATACATATATATGTGTGATGTAACTGCAATACTGTTCAAAGCAGAATCAAACCCAACTCACTCACTCACTCTGTTGTCTGTCTCCCAGGAGATTGTGGAGCTGCAGAAGCACCAGGAGGAAATCAAGGCGGAGTGTGATGCTATGTTGGACAAGCTTGAAACAAAGGAGCAGGAGAAGAGGGAGCTCATCTCAAACTTGGAGGAAGAGATACGCCGGAGGAAGGATTCGCTATATGCTGAGAAAACAAAGGTCAGGAAGAGGGCATTGTGTGACAATAAAACATTGATATGTTTTTTTATTAGATTTACTGAAACACTTTGAAAACACATATTCAATTTTTTGTTATATTTGACAAAATGGCCACAACCATCAAGAGGAAATAATTTTAGACTTTGTGGTAAGAAATACACAATGTGATCTGAAATTTGGAATAACAAATTTGAAAAGGGTCATCCTCGATTATCCAGGGTATTACATTTCCATTTTATTTGGATAAATACCATGACCCCATTCTCTTCTATAGCCACATGAGATTTATTTGAACAGCAACACCTGCAAAATAAGCCGTCCAATCAAATTACTCTCACATGTGAGTGAAATTGTTTGCGTGGATTCAGCTTGTCTATCTATTTGTGAGTCGTGTAGGACTTTGGCATGAACATGGTGGTCCAAGTGTGACATGTGGCAACAACACAAAACTTTATTTGTGATTCTTGATTCAATTTCCTTGTTTGAAATGTAATTTAGTGATTGAGTAAGGAAAGAATGACATAGACTCTCCAAAATATAAATTTTATTTCTTAACAAAATTGAAATATCAGTTACAGTATTCGACATAATAAGCGCCCAGGGCGCTCTCAAAATTAGAAATAGGGGGCTCTTATTAGAGTATTATTTTAGTGAAAGAAACGAGTTAAAAGATAAATTCTGTGGTTTATGCTGACAGCCTGAAATGTTTATGTACGACAGATATATTTTTCCAGGATTTAATTGCCCATAATTAAGGGTGCATATAACACATGAGTGCATATTATACGCGAATAAATAAGTCTTGTGTACATTGATCAATCGGAAGGGGTGCTAATTAGGATTGTTTACTGGCCAATATATTAGCAAATATCGCCGTGGGCGCTTATTAGAGCGGGGCGCTTATTACGTCGAATACGGTAAGTCTGGTGTAAATGCTACATTTGAAAGATTTAAGCATTCTTGCATCACATATAAATTTCAATGCATATAGAATGCATTATTTTGCGTCCAGTGTAACCCTGTAAGATAGAAGTGATGGAGGTGGTGACATTCAACATAAGGCTATTGTGGCACATGGGTCCAGGGTGTTTGTCATGATAGAATGGAGAAGAGAAACACACAAACTTATATGATGGCCTTATTAATGACAAGACGGTATGGATGATCAACGTTTTTATGATTGTAGTGACATTTTGATGTAATTGCTAAAACTATAATTAGCAAGGGATGTATGTTCAAAGTGAGCAACCAAGCATGTTTATTTAGATGGCTGAAATTATTTGATTACAATAAACAGACTTAACGGCTGGAGAATGTTTTAGAATCAACACAAATATGTAGCTACAATTGTAATGAAGAAGTTGATTATCGACACTATCTTGTCATTGGTAGTCATGATCCAACTTCTATAAGCCACTCAAAACTCATGTTGTATCTTGTTCAGGGATTGAAGTCCATCGAACAGGAGAAAGAACTGATACAAGTGGCTCAGAGACAGTTAGAAGAAGAAAAAGACATGTTGTTGTCGAAAGACGAAAGTTTAAAAAAGAAATTTAATGAACTTAGTGAGAAAGAGAAATCATTAAATGTGAGACTTAAGAAACTTGACCAGGAGAAGAAGGAGAGATGGAAACATCTCCTCGATGAGGTGGCAGAGGAGAACAAAAAGATCGAGGAGGCGTGGTCAGATCTGAAGGAACATGAGGTCCAGTTGGAGGAAGCTCTACGGAAAGCTGTCTGTGATAAAGACGAGGATGAGCGGCACTTGGTGGAATGTGAGCAGCGCCATCTGGATTCGGCCCATGAGTTGCTGCGGGAAGAGGAAGAGAAGGTGGCAGCGAGGGAGCAAGATTTGATAGAGCTGGTGGAACGAGAGATGGACGAGTGGGAGAGAGAGAAGGCAGAAGGAAGTGGTCAAATACAACAAGAAAAAGACAATCTGTTGGCGTCTGCTAGGACAGAAAAAATGGATAAGCTTGAGAAGGACATTGAGAATAGGACGGATGCAATAGATTCTCATGCTGCACGAATTGTGGATGAGGAAGAGACTGTGCTAAGACTGGAGAAGCAGTTAAATGGGAAGCTGTGTGATGTGCGCAGGGAGAAAGAGGCAATTCAGGCAGAGAAGCAGCAGACGTCCAAAATGGCTGACGTTCAGTTGGAGCAGAAGAATAAATATATTGAGGAAATTGATTCAAAGATGACAGAGATAGATGATGAATGTGAGGCTGAGCTGGGGAGGATCAAGAAGGAGAGGAACAGGTAAGTCCGACTTTGTCAGTTCTTATTGAGGTCTTTCATGTCTCATTGTATAGTCATAGATGTGCCCCATAGGGAATCAGGGGAAGAACCGGTCCATAGTATAGGGTTGGGACGAGTCCAAATTAACTACCCCAGTACCCAACCCCCTAGTACCTGACCCTACCTGTTGTAGGTCTCAAGAGATGGGTACAAAATGTCTGATTGCGAATTGGGACCCGAGCCCTGGCAAAAAGTATTTAGATATATGTATCACTGGTCTGGTCTTGCATACACTGAAGCTGATTGAAGCTTTATCTTTATTCAAACATTTAGAAGTCAGAAGGCATGCATGCATAAACAGAAATAAATGTGAACATTAGTGACTTGTATTGTAACCATGGAGTTATAAATACTCCCGACGTGAGTACCCTAGTTACCCTTTCGCGCTCTACCACAGTATCTCATGCATGTCCAGTCACACTAATGAGGATTGGGTGGTCACAACGTGTGACCTTGCTGATTGTGTTTCATTGTACCCGGACAATGTGGATTGTCCCTGGACCGTGGATCATTGCTTAGACTGTCTGCCACATAAATGCATGACCGAGACTCTTTATTTACTGATTAAGGTGATATTGCTGGATTTGTAACAACTGCGTTGTGAACAACATTCATTATTCATCACAGCTATTTGTTTGTGCATTTAGTGTTTTCATCAAGGCCAGGTGGACGTTTTGCTTAGAGGCAATTCACAGCAGGCTAAACTTTCACTGTGACAATTATTCAAACATGGCGTAAGTATGCTTGGCGTAAGAGGCGACTAACGGGATCAGGTGGACAGGCTTGCTGACTTGATTGATGCATGTCATTGTATCCCAATTGTGTGAATCTATGCTCATGATGTCAATCACTGGATTGTCTGGCCCAGGCTCGATTATTTACACACCGCCGTCATGTAGCTGGAATATTGCTGAGTGCAGCGTTAAACAACAAACAAACCTCTGAAGCCACTGTAGGCTGTAATGATTTGTACTGCCAAAACAAAGATAAAAGTATGTCACCACAATTTATTTTATGCAACAGAAGAGCACATTCATTTTGTAATTTGTTCTTGAATAATTTTGTAGCTATCATGAATATTGCAAGTTTCAGAGTGAGTTAGCAATTTGTGATTCAGTAATTGCACTTCCATGCTCAAATAGATTGAATAAATGTTCATAAATGATTAAACAACTGGCAAACTTTGACATGCCCCTGTAAAGCAAGTGTTTATCAAAATGATACATCTCTAGTATTTGCTATAGGATAATAACCTGGCCATGCCCCGAGACATGTAGTATATCAAAGGTGTGATGGTGCCTGAGGCTGCTACCTGGCTGTAATGGTTAAGTTGTCCCTTTGGCCATATATGTTTTCAATTAAGCCTGATATACATACAAGTCTGAGCCGGACGGTCTGTGTCTAGTGTCTTTCTTTTGGACAGTAGTGAGATACACGAATCAGTTTGGTGAGTGCCAATAAACTGAAATTGCAACCAAGTCTGCCCTGTTGGAGAAATTATATCTGGCAATATCCTGTTTAGTAGGCAGATGTCAGATTTATAATGTTCATGAACTTGTAACATATCCTTTGATAATCAATCAGCATCACAAATTGTCGGAACAGAATGTGAAACACAATTTGTAACTATCACAACAATACTAGTAAATGTTTGAGTTTTATACCATTTCACTTGTGACTGATTACTTACATTATCATTTGTACATGTCCTTTTGTTATAGTCGTAGAAATACTGAACTACTAAAAATAATGAATTTTTATCTTGGTTTAGCACTTTTTCTCAACTCTAGTTGACCTGGCTACAACTAATACAATTTTACAAGACATATGGGAAATATTTCTGAGCTGCTATAACACATGACTACTTTCAGGCAACTAAACAGCATATATAGTCACGTGAAGTTCTCCATAAATTGTGTCTACTTTGTCATCCGTCAACTTCTTCTAAGTAATACCTATCAAACAATTCAAAGGATATGTTGGATTAAAAATAACATGACATTTGATTATCAAATAATAACATTCATTATCAAATGATATCACACAATATCAAATGGCTTCACAGTAAATTATGAAGCAATATCACAATTGATGTTGTGTCTCTGAGAAGCCGGAGGAAATACCTGCCACACACTCATGGATACCTTGTGCATCACCATTGTGGGTTATGATAGTGAGTCTTCCTCCATGTTAATGAGTATTACAGATTAATGAAGAGTGTCCAAGGTAAATATTTATATGGAGCATTATAATGTATTAATGGTTGGTCAAGCAGAAAAGAAATGTATCCCTTGTTTAGCTTCCGAGCTGTGACTCAGTGTGTTTATGTAGATTAGCACTCAGTTGGGTGAATATGTCAAGTGTCAAAGGCAGGAATTGGATGAGGATTATCATCATTAAGACTTGATGAAACAAATGCCTGGTGAAGGTGTATATGGTACACTTGCAGGTCAATATTTATGCTACTGTTTAGGTTGGTTGAGACTGTTATCACATGTTTGGTGTATATATGTGAGTAGTGTGTCCGTTCACTCTGCTGTATGGTTTTAAACTTCATGTTTTCCATGTCGGGAATCAAAATTATATTAAGTTTCCATTTAATTATTTTCAAAAGAATACTTTAATTATGATAGAAAAGTTACCAGGATTTTAGGTAGATTTTATGTAAATGTCTTAAATAATAATAGTAAATAATAAAAACATAGTGTCATATCAGAGACCATATAATATGGTCTCTGGTCATATGTTAGTCTGTTGTATGCTACTCAAAAGAAGTTAAGGATCACCCGATTATTTAATATTACTATAGTTAATATATTAGTTAAAAGCTCAAGTCAGTTATAGCGATACAGTAAACTACGGTTATAACAGAACTCAAAGGGACCCCTTTTTTTAGGTCGTTATAACCATAGTTTGTTATAAGCATATATTTACAAAGCTTGACTGTGTATATATATATAGTTAGTCTGTCGTGACATAACAGATTAACTATAGTTATATGAAAGAACTGGGTGGCCCTTAACTTCATTTGAGTAGTATATGGTCTCTCAAAATTTGATGTAAAACATAAATAAGTAACAAAATGACAAATAAAAAGTTGATAAGGCATTTCAGTTAAACATGTGGAATATTTCTTAGTGTTTTAATTTAGTAACTTTTACAAAAAAAACAGGAAAACAGGCAGGGTCTGGTCTTAGTTGCCTCTGTGATCGGTATTGTCACAAGCCATTATAAAACTCTTGGCCGTATGTAGTATTTTTTGTTGTGACGCATATTATACACTAATCCAATATATTTTCCTCACTGCTAGAAACTTGAATTCTTCATAGTTGTCTGTATGTTTCTATAAATTGAAGATTGAATGAGTGGATAATCAGACAGACTATGGCAGTCTCCTGTCAGGAAGACCTAACAATGACCCAAGTATCCTGATATCAACTTTCGACAGCCCTCATGTCAACACCACTACCACCATGACACAATACCATTGTCTGTGTGTTAACTAGTGGTAGCTACATGCTCGCCATTTCTTGTCAATCAGCCATACAAGACACACAAGACAAAGTTTACTTCACAGGCCATTGCCCCAAAACAATCTACACAAAGAACAGTAATTCTGTTCGCCTGTTATCTAATTGACACCTCATTTGCGCGGCTAATTAATCCCCCTGTCACCAGCTTGATCATCTGTATTGCTAATTAGCACCTGAGCTTCCATTCACTGTACTTTGTACAACTGGCAGACTAACCAATCAGTGGTGACTGTGAGGGCACTGGGCAGGCAGACATTGATCCTCATTGGTTGTTGTAGGATGTTTGGTCATTGGTCAGTGTAGTCATGTGATGTGGTTACATAAGGCTGACCAGTTACATCTCTGACCAGTATTGACAATTGTAAGTCTGTTTAGCCAGTAGTACTGTAGTGTTACATCAGAGAGTTGACCTTGAACATGATGAAGTGGCGTGCAGTTTGTTATGAAAGGTACATTCAGTGTTTGTCATTCTCAATGTGAAAAGTTGTTTGCTTATAATTTAATGGAATAATTTTCATTTGATTTCTTGATTTAAGTAGAAATGGTGTTCTTTGCATAAATTGCAAAATATTCACATGCACACACACACAAACGCATGCACACTCACAAACACACGCACACACACATCGTAATACATTTCAAAATGTATTTAAGGCGAATCAATGAATAATGCAAATATTTGTGAAGTTACAATTTTGAGTGATGTTGAAATTTTGCAAACTTATATATACCATTTGCCTCTGAAGGACGCCAACAATATATTTAAGCATCTAGTTATTTGTTCAATCATTTATAGCTGTATATATATATAGAGAGAGAGAGAGTTTGTGTCATGGTATCTTCGTTTCAACAGTTTTTGTCTCAGTTAAATGTTCAAATTTCATCTTGGTTGTGTAAGATGTCCATCTTTCGAGATGCCTTGTTTGCTCGGGACAAGTATTTAACAAGCCAGCCAGCCCCACGTAGGGAGATTGAAGCCTTTTGGAGGGATTAGGGGATGTTAACAGCTTGGAATGTTTGCTGGCCTTGTGAGCAAACCACCGTCCAGATATTTGGAATAGGGACTTGTGTGATGGTAGGAACTACTGGAGTTTCTGGGTGTTCAGTGTCAAGCAGGTAACGCCTGGGTCTTGAATTAATTAATTGAATTAACTTATTATATGTGCATGCGGTTCAATTTCATATCATGACAATAATATGTTGTGTCCTTATATAGACATTTTGTTTATTTATGATGACCTCACATACTGAGACTCTTATATTGTGGCTATGTTACATGTGAAAGTCCCAGGGCAATGCTTACTTTTAGGGTGGAGAACTGACCACATTTAAGTAGGGATAAGATATATGGATGAACAACATCTTTATTACAATTAGGACATTTCAGTGTAGGTTCTAACACTGTATCAAGCAAGTGATGTACAGAGT